CTCACTACTAGATCAGACTCATAGTGATTCGCCTGTTTACAGCCTCCTAAGAGCTGGGATTACAGGTGTGGGCCACCACACCCAGTCTCTGTTTCCCTTTCAGCGCGCCCCAGGGGCAGGGCTGGCACAGCAGGCCCTGGGATCGAACCCCTGGTCCCTGCACCTGCTTGCAGGCACTTTCATACCAAGTAGATTTTAAGTCAATGTTTAAAGATTTAAAATTTCTGAATCTAGTTGAAATTGTAGCACCACATTTCCAAGAAAAATGAACCTTTTTCACAAGAAATTTGAATAAAAATCATGCCAAGATACACAACAATGAAATTGTCTAAAACTAATTGTAAAGAAAAATAATCACTAAAGCATATACATAAAAAAATATAAAAATATGGAACGCTTCACGAATTTGTGTGTCATCCTTGTGCTGGGGCCGTGCTAATCTTCTCTGTATCGTTCCAACTTTAGTATATGTGCTGCTGAAGTGAACACAGTAGATTGTAAGTCAAAGAAACAGTATAAATCACAAAACAAAAATTAAAATTAAACAATATTCATAAAATTAATTAAATATTAATTAATTCAAAATTAAATTAAATATTTCAAAATAATATTCAAAAATTAAAATTAAATTGTGAGTCCAACTAAGAGGCCAGAATGCAGTGTATCATATATATGAATCTGTGATTAATTCAGAGTATTCACACAGTATTTGATTAGGTTAATATAGGCAAAAATATCAACTAAGAAAAAGTTTTCATGATTTTAAAGAATTACTAAGAATAAAACATAACAAAAATACTGGAATGGCAAATATGTGACCAGCACTTCTAACAGTTTGGAGATAGGATATTGCACAAAGTTCTAGTGTGTGGTGGATGTGGACAGCGTCCATGAAGCTTTTACTGGTGGCCAGGTGTCACTTGTGGGACTGAGCTACTGCTATTTCCTTAATATCCACCCTGTAGACCCAGACAGAATCATGACCCATAGGGTTAAGGGGAAGTCCATTTGTGGAGTATGCTGATGGAAATATTTTGCTGCTGTATGCAAAAGAATAATTGAAGGACTGCTGTTGTATTCCTCTTTTTCTCCTGTGTTTAATTGTTTGCCCTATTTGGTGGGTTCTTTCCATTCTCATTCATGGAGTTCTGATCATTTTGATCCCTCTCTAGAATATCTTTTAGTAGTCCGTGTAAGGTTGGCTTTGTTGTAATGAAATTCTTTAGTTGTTCTTTCTTATGGAAATATTTCACTTCTCCATTAAACTTGAAAGACAGTTTTGCAGGTATATCATTTTGTTTTCTTGCAAGATTTGTAGCACTTTGCTCCATGCTCTTCTAGACTTGATGGCTTGTGAAGAAAAATCTGCCATTATTCTGATAGGTTTTCCTTTAAATGTGATGTTTCTTTTCTCTAGCGGCTTTCAGTATACTGTTCCTGTGCTGAATTTCTGGGATCTTGATTATTATATGTCTGGGTGTGGTTTTCATTGGATTGGTGTTATTATTTGGAGTTATATATGCTTTGGTTACTGAATGTCAGATTGTTTCCCCATATTTGGGAAGTTTTCTGCCATTACTTCGGCCCATATTCTCTTTATATCATTTGTATTGACTCCTTTCTCACTGATGCCTATTAGTCTTAAGGCATTAGTCTTAAAGATGTTGTTCATCTTAGCATTTTTTTTTTTTTTTTTTTTTCAGAACTGGGGATTGAACTCAGGCCCTTGCGCTTGCCATGGAAGCGCTTATTCTACTGAGCCATCTCTCCGATCCCCATGCATTGTCTTGCAGATGTTGAATTATTTTTTCCTGCATCCTAGTTGTTTTTAAGAGATCTTTTCTTACCTTTTCACTAGCTGCAATGGTATCTTCAAGGTCTGAAAGTCTGTTTTCATTTTCATTCAAACGGTTTTGCCAGCGTGATTGAGATTTTAATTTCCTGTATAGTACTTTGAATCTGCTTCATGCATTCTGTTTCTTTCCTATGTTGTTTATTCAAGGATTCCATCATTTTTATATTTTGCTCTATTTTTTTATCAGTGTCTTCATTAGGAGCACTTAGTACTTCTTTCATTATAGTTATCATTTCTTTTTTTACTTCAGAAACTTCTTGTGATCTGATTTCCTCTATACCTTTCCGCAGTTGTTTCTTTACATCAGATGCTATTATTCAGAGATTGCAGGTGTGTGCTTTCCAGTTTCTTCTATGCTGTTGTCTCCTGCATTTGTTCTGGGTGGGCTGGGACCTGAGGATGTTTTTTGCTCCTTCTCTTTATCATTTTGTATAGTACTGTCTTCTGACCTTTGGTGTAGAGCTTTGGTACAGTTATTACCTCAGCACTAGGTCCAGATCTACCAAATTCATATTTGTCCAAGGGGGTGTGACTTGGGTCTGACTGCTGTGCTCCACTTCTTCCTGCTGTAGCCTTTGGAAGTGAACCCGCTGTGCCACTCTAGCAAGAGGTTCTGCTCCTGGATCAGCTGGGTGGGTCTTGCCTCTAGCCTATCTGCAGGAAATTCTGCCGCAGGGTTCCACACTGGGCCTGTCTGATGGAGGAAGTTCCACACGCATGCCTGGCCTGGGTGCTGGCTGGAGTGAGGATCCAGTGGGCCCTGGGCTGTCCCTCTCACACTCTGGGCCTGCACACTGGCTGGAATAAGGATCTGGAGGCCCCTCTCCCTTTTTTTGTGGTACCAGCTATCAAACTCAGGACCTTGTGCTTTCCAGGCAGGCACTGTGCCACTGAGCTATATTCCCAGCCCCTCTGGTAAGTATTTCTTCTCTGAAAAGTTTCTGCTTCCCCAGAACCTTCCTCCTGCCGCCATATATAAAATAGGCAAAACCCAATG